GGGCGGCTTGGGGCAGGAGCAACAATGCATGTGCGGCATTACCGCTGGTCGAAAGCAACAACGGGCGTTGTGTGTCCTCATATCGGACCTTTTTGCCCTGGTTGTCCCGGACTGTTTCCATTTCTAAGCCAGTGAGTGCATAGGAATTGGCTGTGTGAATGATGCTACCCGACACAGTGGGGGGCGTATTCTCGGCCTTCCCATTCATCCCGCTAATGAAGAGCGACCGACATTCCCCTGAGGGGGTTAGGTGAGGCTTTGGAGGCGGGTACTGGTAGGCAGGAAAGGCAAAGGCTGCCAGGGCTTGTTGCACACGCATGGCTAGTCCATCATCCCAGTATTGACTGAGGCCCAACGGCGTGACCTTTATGTCTGCAGCGAAGAGAGGCCACGGCAAATCCGCCTGGGCCAGCCAAGCATGCGCAGCGGCAGCAAGAAGAGCAAGCGGCCCAGTTGGGGTATTGGGTCGACTGCGCCATTTCGGGGTGGCCCTGCAGGAAGATAGGGCATCTTTCTTCCAAAACATGAGGACCCCAGGGAAGAGCTGGAGCCGCACTGGTCCACTGCCCTTTTTCCCAACAGAGGCCCACAGAGGGACGGTGTCCCCGTTGCCCCAGACCGACTCTGGTAGAGTAGGCAGCCGTACCACACTCCCCCACTGCGGCAAGATGTTTTTGCCTTTGGCACCATATCCATGCACAAAAGGAGGGGGTATAACCTCGGCGTATCGGTTCGCCATGAATAAGTCAGGACCAGGTAGGATTGCCAAACGGGAGTGCGGGCCGCCGTAACCCATGAGCAAGGGAAGAAATCCCTGTTCATATGGGCCTTGTCCCCATGTTCTGACCCCTCAGACCTGCCTGACTGGGGAGGCGCCAAACTGGATGTCTGGCTCTGGCCGGCCAGCAGTAAGGTCGGCCGTTTTCCACGCAACCTCATGTATGTATCTTCCTAAAAGTGCCCACGCAAACACAAAGTCAGAGTGCTTGTGAGCAGTGGTTCCGGCAAGTGGGGTGTTGCGTAGACATTGCCGATAATGGATCTGGTCCAACGGCACCTGCTCATGCGTACCAGGCAATGGAGTGGGCACTTCACTGGGCATGATGACTAGCTGCAGGGCTCGGCTCAACGCAGTACCAATTGAGGTCACCGCACTAGCGACGTTGCCAGGGATGCAGAAGCGAGGGGGCCGGGGATGTTTGCCGTCCGGGGCATTCGGGTAGAAGAGGACCAATCCCCCATTTGCTTCAAGCTGGTCCTCGGACGCACAAACCATGCCAATTGAGTTTGGCGATCGGGCACCACACGGTATGGCTGGAAGCGAGCCACAGGGCTGTGTCTCGTCCGTCTCGACTTCCATGCTGCCCAGTGACTCCGTCGAGAGGGTATTGGGCAGTAGATCGAGGACTGCAAACCTTCGCAGCTCTTCTGCTTCCCACCTGGCAGTGAACAAGGTGTCATGGTCAAGCAACATCAAGACCACCCCTGGCGCAAGGACTCTGAGGACTGCCAGAATTTCAGGCCCGCCCACGTAAAGTGCACCGAAGCTAGCCCCGCTTCCTTGGTGTTAACCAAGATGGGAAACCACCTCTCCTTAAACGGGCCTTCCCACTGCATGCGTGCTACCAAATGCCGGACAAAGTAGGGGAAGTGCGGAATAGACAAGAAGCAGCGACTATCCGTGACCAAGAGCAGGACATGGGCTCCTGCGGACTCAGCAGCCCGGAGCTGTGGAAGTAGGCAGCCGAGTAATGCATTGTAGTCAATCTCTGGGTGGAGACCTTGCGGCTCAGGCGGTTCGCCGGAAATGGCTCCCGAGGCCAGTTTCAATGGCAGTACGCCGCTAGGGGTGGGCTCAGGGAAATTCTGATTACTTTCTAGTGCCTGCGCGAGGTTGTGAGGCTCCTGAGGCCCCGGCGCATGGTCAGCACTGAGAGTGCGAAGCTGGCATATAGCCTGCATTGCGGTCGCCGCAAGGACCTGTGGACCTGGGTGGCTAGGGACCTGCCAAGGTGGCAGGTCGGCTGCAACTGGCGCGGGAGGTGGCCTCCCATGTGGAATTCGCGGCTCGATCCTACTGACCTCACCCACTGGGTATTCTCCAACACGTGGAGGAATCGGCGGTATGGGAGGGCGAGGACTATTATCCGGCCAGCAGACCCTAGGTGGATTAGGTGATGGAGTTTGCCAGGGCCCGGGAGACAGGGCTGTCTCCCTACCCGCTCCTTGTTCGGTGACAACACTCGCCCAAGGGGGAAGGTCTATCGCGTCACCAGGCAAAGCACTGTGCGTGGACACCGCTCGCCCCATGAGGGCACTGCTATGCTGCATGATGCCGATGCCTGGCCTCCATGCATGCAGGAGAAAACAGCGAACCGTGGGTTGCCGGGCGAAGCAGACGGCGTTGCTGTTTCTCAAAAAGGCAGAATGGTCCAGACACAACAAGGGTTGTATTTCCGGCGGAAAGTATCGGCACCAACCGGCAGCATCGAGTTCGTGAGGCAGGATGACGCCGGCTTGCATCTGCCTGGTCATTGCGATATCACTGGTCCCTAAAGTGGCAAGTGCAGTGAGTTGCCCTCTCCTGGCAACGTGGACTTGGAGCACTTGCGCTCCAACCCGGATCGCGTACGGTTGACAGGCATACGACTCCATGGCATCACTCACCGAACATGGCAGGCCAAACTCATGTGACTACCCCACAGACAGCGGAGAACCACGAGGCAACCTCCAGACACCAAGATCCCTGGAAAGCCCTTACAAAAACTAGGGAGGGACTCCAGGAAAGGGAGGACCAAACAAAAAGCACAGCACACAGGAGAGAAGAAGCAGAAAGGCGAGAAAAAACCAGTCAGGAGCGTTACAACCCTCTACACAATGGGTTCCTCGTTCAGTCAGCCAGCCACCCTTAGCTTGAGCCAGGGCACATCCAACGCGCAACCTGAAAAGGGATGCAGCGTGTCATCGCAGGTGGCTGTTACTTGTGGCTGCAATGTGCTGCATGTACAAAGCAATGACCTGGAGACGATGGCATCCTTTACTTTGTCCGTGCACAGTAGTACACCAGAATGCAGGCGTACCTCGGTTGCTGGTCTGTTTGTAGCGGCAACACAAGGGCCGGCGCGCATAAATCGATTAAAATGGAAAAAGGAAGGCACTCTCTACCCTGCCCCGACGACTACTCCGGGAGCTCGATATGGTCCGCCAGCAGCCAATCAGGATCGCTCAGCAATGCAGGCCACACCACATGCTCCGGGTCCTTGCCGATAACCACCTGGCGGATTGTGAGGCCGGGGGCCCAGGGGTACTGCGTGCGTCCGTAGCCCTTGAAGGCGGTAAAGTGTGAGTCTTCGGAAAGGGCTTCTGTGACAGGAGGCACGCGATGATTGCCCCGCACCGAGTAGCACATCCGAAGGTGGTGCTGAAAGGTCTCTACGTCCTTTCCGCCATAGACTAAAATTCGTGTCTCCCCGCCCGTTGGGGCTGGCAGCAAAGAAGGCAGCCTAATGGGGCCCATGCAAACACAAGCCCGGAAGGTCGCATGGGCCTCGGAAATTGCAATCTGGTAAGTGATGGTTCCTCCAGAGCCAAGGCCCATGAGATATGTGGGCAAGGAGATGCGAGGGCTCGCATCACGTTGGACGGCCAGTAGGAGCGGTAGAATTTCCATTGTATACACTGCCTTGGTCCAGGCAGCACCGTCAGGCAGCATCCAGGCAGGCGGTGAGCCTGCTTGTCCCGCCACAGGCCATGCGCAGGCAATGACGGCCTTTTTGAAAGCCAGGTTGCTCCACAGATACTCGATGGCCCCTTGCCAAGGCAGTGGGTGCATATTCTCCACATAGAAATGTCCACAACCAGGGAGGAGAAGCACTATCGAGTTGGCTTCCCCTGCATCCGCACTCGGCCGGGATACAACAAAGGGGAGGGTTGAACTGCCATGGCTCGCCGTAATCCAGGTGTTTTCACGCCCAGCTACGAGCGGAGGGGCGACCAATGGAGGAGGCTGCAGGTTCTCCAGGCCAAGGGGCTCTTGCAATGCCATGGCGAAGAAGAGGCAGCCTACCCAATTGATGGGGCAAGGTAGAGGAAGACTGGGCAGTCTTGCCTGAGAGCCGTGCCGTCCAGCGCAAAGAATGTCACACAACAACAAGCTTGCTCCCAACTTCCCCTGACTCAGCTCCCTTTAGTTGGAGACTACATCAGCAGTATAACATGATCAATGGTTACAACTTTCCAAATCGGTCAAGACAACAGCAGCTGTGAATCCAATCAAACCTGCAAAGGCAGCAGCCAATGAGGACCACTTGTGGACCGACACCTTTGGGAGGGCCAACACCACGAACCCAGCACTCAATAGAGCCTGCATGCCCAGACCCACCTTCGACCAGGAATGTGAGGTAATCACCCCAAGGAAACACGCAAAAGCAGCAGCCATTTTCAGGACCCATACCTTTGGGAAAATGAACGCGAAGAACACACAAAGAAGCCAGTCTGTCGACACCGATCAACACCACAGGTGCCACAGGAACGTGAGGCCTGAAATCAATTCTTGACCCAAACGAGCACGCGAAAGAAGCAGCCATTTACAGCACCCACACCTTTGGGAAAATGAGCGCCAAGAACACAGCACTCAAGCCAGCCAGGCATTCCAAGGACCCACACTTTTGGGAAAATGGACGCGAAGAACGCAGCGCTCGACCCTTTTCCGGCTCGATGAGCATTTTGACAACGAGCAGGCAATAACGTCTAAAGCGCAGCACGGGGCGCACGCTTAGCAAGCAACCCACGAAGGATCACGGAAATCTCAAAACGCGATTGTCATCGACTTACAAGCCGAACGCTGCTGAAACAATTTCTGTCAGTGCTGTGAAAGCTGGGTTCGCTAGCACGTTTTGGGGGGGCCTGTTTAGGGACCCAAAAACCTGCAAAAACCTGGAGCCGCCAAACCGGGCCTCCACAGTGCAAGTTTTCCGCGCAGTCTGTGTGGTCTCAGCACGTCAGTCCAGGCACGGCAAATTGCGCCGGGCTTCGTCTGGAAGAGGTCGATCCTTGTGCCAGTAGATGTAAGACATCGTATCTATCTTCATACGCCGCGGGAAGATGCGTGCAGCATCTGCCAAGGATGGTGGGCGTACGGGGATTTCTGGAACTTGTGTCCAGCCCAGCACATCCAGAAGAGATCGTTTGATGGAGCGTTGGTCTCCAAGCACTCCAGCAAGTTGAAATGCTTTCTCCCACTTACGTGTTGCTAGCACACGTTTCATGGCTTCAAACAAAACACCCAAACGAAACTGCATTGTCAGCGCCCCAATTACGGCGTGTCCTTTCCTCTCACGCCAAACTTCTTCCAAGACTCGTTTGAAAGAATGAAACAGCTGCAAATCACACGGTTGCAAATATTTAGTTGTTCCTGCCGGCACATACACGAGTCGCACACGGCATCGCTTGGCGTGGTCTCGAATGCTGTTGTGGACGTGTGCTCTTGCCACGTCCAAGAGCAAAATGGCGTACCTGTCGGGCGCTGCTGTCTGCAAAGAAGCACGGAGCGCGGAGAGATATTGGCGCATGACCGCATTGTCACACCACGCGGACGGCCGCCGCAACATACGGACATTGGGTGGAGCCGATCTCACAGCCGCTGCCAACTCCTCTTTCGATATTTGGTGCTCATTCAGCAAAACAAACTGCGGTAGAAAGGGCTGGATGGCAGGATCTGGGGTGATGGCTGCCAAGTATGTGAAGTTGCTGCGGCGCTGTGACAAGCTCGCGGCTTCTCGAGCCCGCTTGCCCTTGCAGGCCTTGATGACAGTCCCTTTGAGGCCTGTCACGAAGCTGATGCTGGTCTCATCAACATTCACGATCAAAGGCTCCTGCCCCGCAGTCACTGCTTCCAATCTGGCAAAACCAAGCCACTGCCAGTACGCCAAAGCCTGCGCAAAAGGAGACACAAACCTAGCGCCAAAAAACACGCAAAAATGGGGGGCCAAAAATGGGCCCCAAAAATTGGTCCCAAAATTCTGTTTTTCTTTGTTTTTCAATAGGACGCCTGGCACGGGGGCCAAAAAAACGGGCCCAGAAACAGCCCCCGAAAAACAGACCAAAAAAAGCAAAAAGTACAACACCCAGAACTCCCGAGCAGGGTCCTCACAGCCAGCACAAACGAAATCTTTCGTCGCCTTCTTGTCAGCAACATTACAAGCCCGACAGTCATACACTGACTGGTCTATTTTTCGGCCTCCTGGTTTGTAGGGCGTTGGGTAACGCAAGACAGAAGAAGGAAACCAAACAAAAATCCAACTCAGGAGGGCATACATGCGCTTATTGGCTTTGACCCTCAATGCCTTTTGCTCCAGGTCGGCGGGATCATCGTCGGCCACAGGCAAGGCCCCAACACGGCACTTCCAGCGACGCCGAAACCTGCTCAACCATTTGCGCTGGCCCCGCGCTGGCCCATGAAGCTGACGCTCCAAACGCTGGCGAATCTCTGCAGGCACAATGTCTGGAATGCACTGCCCGGCATGGGCTGTCAACATGGCACGGCTTGGCGCGACGCCTTTGTCGCAATTCAGATGCTCCACCCAAGAGCGCAGTCTGTGCTGGACCACATACTCCATCGCCACGTGAACGTCTGCTGCAGAGCACTGAGACAATGGATCGGTCTCCAACGCGACTAGTTCATCCAAAGGTGCTTGAATGTACAAAGTCTCCACATCGGCAACAGCATCCGACTCTGCATTCAGGAGGCCATGACATTGACACTTCAACAGAAAATCTGCAGCAACCTGGCTGCAGTACCCACTGTATATGTACACCAGAAGCACACGGCGTCGGAGTGGCTCTGGATGGGAGCACTTTTCCAAACGTCGCTTCCGCCTGCTCACATTTCTTATTTCACTACGTATCCGCTTCAGATTTTCCAAAGCAGCTTGCATGAGCCCAACGACACCTCACGGGCATGCGTCCAGTCTCATTCAGCAAGAATGTCCCGAAGGCCTGAAAGGCGACTGTCTTGCTTACCCAACACACACGTGGCGCATGTGGTGTTGCCTCAACGCTTAAAGCCACTTGAATCCTTCTACTGACACTGTGGAGGCCCCTTGTAAGGACCCGAAATTGTATCCCTTTTTCGGGACCAAAAATGAGGGACGCTTTGCACAGCACTTGGCAAGCGCGTGAGGGATGCTTCTTTCTCCGGGTTCCTGCGCTGCGTTTTCGGCGCCATGCCACCTTCAAGGCCACCCCAAAACATTCCGTCACAGCACCAAACTGGTTCGAAACACTCAACAGCAACGTTGACCCACAACTTGTAAGTCTCCAGCAAAGAGTTCTCTGGCACTTCTCTGCGGGCAAGTCAAAGCTCAGCGCACGCAAAAAGCAGCTGCACATGCCACCCGGGCACAGGACAGTTTCAATCAGGGTCAAGGTACTTTCAAGCAAGTTTTTTGTCCGTGACATAGAACAAATAGACACGCTACAGGACATCATTCAACAATGAAGATCAGCAGATGTATTGCTTTTCATTGCTGGGCGATCGCACACCAGGCTTGTCACATATCTGAAACGACTGAAGCGTGAACCTCTAGGAACTCAGCTTGGCTGTTAAAAGGCCACGCGAGCTTTAGCAACATTTCCTACATTGGAATGCCCGATGGCTTATTTGTCATCCCCTCCTCTAGCCAGGCTAGGACCCCAGTCACTGGGCAAGTGGAGGAGGACGGTTGAGTTGCTCATGCCACGTGAGTGCGCCCGCACTCACACGGCGGTGTAGGAACCTGCATCTCTTCTCAAGGCAGTTGATCCATTTACGTTCTCTGCACAAGTTTGACGAGCAGTGACCCCTCACCGCAATTTCCGAGCAGGGGCTCGGTGAAGCGGCTCAGGAGCTCCCGTTCGGGTTGCTCCCTTGCTCCCGAGTATTACCTGCGGAGAATCTTGTGAGGGTGCGGGAGTGATTTGATGTTGGGTACGTGAGTGCGCCCGCACTCACACGCCCTAGTCGCCCGCATGGATTGACAGTTTGTTTCTGTGGCTCATAGCCCTCTCAGCCGCGAACATAAAGGAGTGATGGTATTACCCGCTAACTTGCCCCATTGTTCTGTGCCGCCAGGGCTCACACCCGAACTAACTGCCCGGCATGGCTGCTTCGTTGGTCATTGGTGGCAGCCTTTACACTGCTGTCAATGGAGATGGCGACGGTGACTGGGAAAGATGTTACCCTTACGAGCACCCGGAGATCTTTTCCAGCGAGCCCATCCTCGAAGGCCACGGCCACACTTGTAGTGCTGGCTGGATATCGCTCACCAAGCTCCTCGTACTGCAAGGAATCCGCGATGCCTCGGCAGCCCAAGGACGTCCTAATCAACGGACCCTCACCATGGTTGCTGCGGCCGAACTCGCGCACTCTGTTGGAGGTCATCGTGCCTGGCTTGCACACCACCTTCGAGATCTTTCGCAGGATTTGAGGAACGAGCTTGCCCAGGAGTACGGGGCGTTACTGGCTATGTTCAGACGTCCGCCTGGACCACAGCAGAATGCCCTTTTAGCCTGGGCCAGGCCAATCATTGTGCATCGCCAGGAAGATTTTCCAATTTACCTCATAAAAGCACATTTGGAGCAGCATCTTTTGCTTGCATGGCGTTTCACTGCCGATAGAGTCAATTTGCTTTTGCAAGCGATGTCCGATGCTGTCCCTAATGATAATGCCGTCATTCTGGAGTGGGTAGCGTGCTTCCTCGATGAACGTATTGCTACCGACATTCTCGAGCATTTAGATGACGAGACCATGCATCTGCTTGAGGACAATCGGCATTCGGATAGTGACATCTAACGCTGACCTATAGCATTGTTTCGCATTCGCGCGACACCCAAGTCCAGCAATTCCGTAACATGAAGCTGCAATTTGAAATGGGTGCAGTTCACACGCACGACGGGCACAACACGCTGTGTACTGGCGAAGGTTGACGTCGATGTCACAAAACGCCTGCGCGATGCCCAAGCCCCGATGATACCTCCCCAGCGCCGACAAACAGCAGCCACTCTCGCGGTTTCCCTCAGGGATGGGAGGGCAACCCTATAATTCTCGACTCCAGGAGCGACGTGAGGGAGGCGAGTATAACAACAACCCCAATTCGACTGTTGTTGCCGCCAGAGGTACACCTGCGGAGGCTCGGAGAGGCCTTCGCGCGGCTCTATAATTAACCACAGGCTCAAGCACACAGTGCACGCATCAAAGAGGATACAACGCAATGCATCCAATGGGCAGTCGTGAAGGTGTCTATCGCCGTGCCTGGAGGCGGGCCTACAGTAGGCCGAAGTAGGGCTCAACTGCGAGACAATCACAAGCAGCGGAGCAAGACGTTCCATATGGCTTTGAGGGCTGGATGCCTCAACCATGTTAGTGATGCCTTCCTGGGAAGGCGGTGGACTACCTCGGATCTACAGAGTTGACCTGAGCCAGCACTGCACAGCACCCATGAAAAAGTCCCGCCAACACATTCCCTAGAATGCAAAACCGCGATAGCAGTGTGAAACTGGAGAACAAGACCCTCATGCTTCCAAAGCCAAGCATTAGTGAAGGGGCGGGGGTCCCTACTGCATTTTCAGAAGTATGTTTGCGTTCGGAGCAAAAGCTTGGAAGTACTGCCGACACAGGACTTGCAACTGCCCCTTGTGAGTTGGCCAGGACGAAAGATCGACACTCGAGGTGCCCACTGCGTTCTCTCATCGCTTGCACGCATTTGACCATCAACAGGGACACAGGCCAGCTACAAGAAGCAAAACAGGGCAAGGTGGGTCATTCCAATCGCTTGGGTTGAGGAGCTGCAGGTGCCAGAACGGCCAGCCAACAGTGACAGGTTGGATGCGCAGCCCTTACAGCCAGGAGATCATTGTAGGCATATACAGTGAACAGTGTGCCCACCGGCCAATCTACCAGAGCACAGCACGGAGGGACAGGTAGGTGACTTAGTTGCGAAACAGCGAAGACCCCAAGAAGATCTGGCTGCAGGCGGTTCGGACACAGAGCACATAAGGCAGGGAAAAAGTTGAGTGGTAAGTTGGAGAGTATCCCCTTTAAGAGTCTTGTCGTAAGGTGTGAAAAGCAGAGCTCGCGCAGCAGTCTCTTTTTCACTTCGCACTTGAGCCAAACACCAAAGTGTTCAGCAAGCTTCAGTTCTTGCAGCAAGCTCTCTCCAAGAGCTAAGGGCTCCAAAAAGCTACGAATTCCATCTCAACTTTGTTCTACAAAGGAGGTAAAGCAAAAGAACAACGCAACTGCTTTGGTCTACACCTCGGGGACTTCAGGTCACTTCCGAACAGCAAAACAGCGAAGCTTCAGAGTCCACTCTGCACTCCTACTCCCATCCTACACGTCCAACGGCAACGAACGAAGTGGCGGGGACACGGAGTGAGTTGCAACAAGACAGAACCTCAGAGTTCTGACACGCACTTCTTCACTACTGCTCTCAAGCAGTTCCAAGTGCTTCAAAACTCATCCTAGGCCATGCCAACAAGACAAGAACATGCCAAAGTCAAGCAAGACATGCCACACATGCTTAAGGGCTTTGGGACAAACCAAACATGCTCATGCCAAGTCATGCAGCAGAAAAAACTCTCATGCTTCTCTCTGTATGGTCAAACACCACATGGCACCAACTGGGCAAACACTACAGGTGAATTTTACACACCCCCTCATGCACAGATGGTCCTTGGGTAGTTCCCTTCAGTCCTTTCTTTCCTCCTGCTTCAGGATCTTCTTTCCAATCCTGACAAGAGCCTTTCCAAGCTCTTCCGGGTAGGTCCCAGACTCCTTCAGAGACGCACTCTTCGAGTGTTCGTGGTTTCCTGCGCAAACGTACGAAGACAGTTCCCACACACAGGCAGCACTATTAGAAGCGAACCACCATCTCTTCCAAGTCTTCTCTTTCTTCTCGAAGCAGCATCTATCTACTAGACATCCTTGCGTTAGACCAATGCTTTTAGAGACTTCTAGAAATACCGTTTCCTTCCACAAAGAGGACCTTTCAGGCCATTCGTGGGTTAACAGCAAACCCTCGTTAGAGGCATAGGGGCCGAAGAGCTTCCCTATAAGTCTCCAGCAACTCTTGTGAATCTTTAGCGTCTTCCGCCAAAGTTCCAAACCTCGTCGCTTGCGGAAACGCAGGTACCTCAAGGGGCAGCCTGAGCTGCAAAGCGTAGACAAATGCGCAAAGACACGGACCTTTCCCTGCTTCAGGACTCTTAAGATCTCTTCAAGAACAAGAAAGGTGTTCTTACTCAGAAGATTGATTTCCCGAGTCACTCCGAAGTACGCTATGCCTTTCTCTCGAGCACACGCTCTCGCTATAGCACTCGACTCTTCGCAGCAAAGCTCCAGAACGACGAGCGACACTGTTCCTCTAGCCACTGCCGTCGCGGCTTCCATCCAGGAGCTAGGAACCTCCAGCGGAGAGGACCTTACTGCGTTCGAAGATACTTCCTTAGTGATATTGGGCTCATTTCTTACTTCTTCGACGTTTTCTTCGGAGATCGACGACCACGATTCTGGCTCGGTAATGAGGCCAGCGGCCTCACAAAGACTGACCAAATTCTCCGCAGTTGGGGACTTCGTTAGAGC